GAGGGGCTGTGACAAACTGTTTCGTCGGAGTTTCACCGACTCATCAGGAATATATATCGTCATATATATATATATATATATATATATATCGTCAAATATCATCACCAAACAGAACTGCCCGGTAAACCATAGGCAGAGAGGGAGGGAGAAGAGGACAACAAACGAGGGGCTGTGACAAACTGTTTCATCCGAGTTTCATACATAACATATCGTCAATACTGTATTCATCCGGATATACAAATATTTCCAATTTCTGAATTTCACACATTTTTACATGTATACTAATTTACACACAAACACACACACACACACACACACACACACACACACACACACACACACACACACAGAGAGAGAGAGAGGGAGGGAGAGAGATGAATTAGGGGAAAGCTGTTTCTGACCCATCGAATCCTCTCCGGCTCGTACTCAGCTCTCCACAGGAGTGTGCCTCTCAGCATTTTTTCGGCTTTCCTCACGTGCCAATTTCTCGCTCGGAGATATCGTCGGAGGCATTCCTCCGTGCAAAACTTGTCCTCAAGATCGGCGAGCGGACCCAGCGCTTGTCGGAGTTGAGAAACCTGCCACATGAACAAAAGTTGCAGCTTAAAAAAAAAAGAAAAAAAAAGGGAAGGAAAAACCGGCAAGAATGCCAAGAAAGGAAAAAACTTAAAAAAAAAGGAAACTTGCAGAATGATGTTTGCGGTTTTTTTTTTTTTTTTTCCCCTAAAGGTTATTGCAGTTGAGGCTCAAGGTGAGTGACTCTGAAGCAGAAAAAAGTTGGAAGAGAAAAAGAGTGAGAAAACAAAATGGGAGGACATAGCAAGGGGAGGATGGTCACATGGGATATAAAATATTACAAAGTAATGAAAACGGAAATGTATGTGCATACACTGCATAGCCAGTACCTTGGCATTCAATCAAATTTAAAAGTTGAAAAAAAAAAGCTCGCTGTCAACTCCACTAACCCCTCTGGAGTCTACTACTAACATCTAACACTAACACATCTGCACTGGCGCAGCTATGGCTGCCTTCTTCCTGCCAACGCTATCTTCCTCTCTCTCCCTCACTTAGCGCAGCACTCTGGCTTCAGCGCGCTGCTCCTCACTCCAGCGCACAAGTGCACCAGCACTTCCACACTTCTTGCGAATGAGCCCACTGCCCGAATGGGAGGCTGGCCAGTCCTTTTGTAGTCTTGGTTTGCACTTCAACTCATGCCAGCCTCTGTTTCGTGGGTCCTGACCGGTTCTGGTACCACATCCCCACGGCCTGTCTGCTTCTGAATGTCAAGGCCTGGAACCTTCCCGAATTTCCATTGGACTGCTGCTGCTTGGGCTTTTGAATCATGACTTTTCACTTGTGAACATGACTTTTGACTGTGGATAGTGCCTCCTGCCTGTGGGTCACGACTTTTGCCTGTGATACTGCCTTTACTCGAGGGATGTGACTCTTCTGGATGGTTTTTATTATGAGACGTGACTCTTGTCCGTGAAACGTGACTGTTTGCTGGGTGCCTGTTGGACCAGACTGCTGAGGTACCCGATTGTGACTTTTCTGAGTTTGACGAACTCGGCCTGGGCATCTGACCCTGAAGTCCGAATTTGGGGTCTAAATCGTGGGAGGCCTTTCTTCAAAATGGGGTCCAACCGGACACTGGACCGGACATCCAGACCCGGACTGTCTGGATCAGGATCCCGACGTCTGGTTAACAATCATGGATATTTCACTAAAAGAGGGGGGGAGGGACGGGGGGGGGGGGGGGGGGGAGCAAAAGCCATGGGCAAATGATGGAAGAATATGGTACGTGATAGGTAACTAAGTCAGCTTCCGCTTCTGGTAAATCAAAAGGAGCACGATCCTTTCCGCTAAACAAGAAATGAAAAACAGAATCAATCAAGGAAAAAGGAGAATACCAACCATCTCTCTATATTTTTCCCTGGAAATTGAGGGCCTGACTAATCATCTAATAATTTGTGTTCTCTGATGATGGAAGGAAAAGCCATGAAAAAGACGAAACTTTGCTCTGCGACAAAGGAAGGAAAAATGATGAAGACGAAGAAACTTTGTCCTGTGACGATGCAAGGAAAAAAGAAGAAGAAGAAGAAGAAGAAGAAGAAGAAGAAGAAGAAGGAGGAGGAGGAGGAGGACGAGGAGGAGGAGGAGAAGGAGGAGGAGGAGGAAAGAAGAAGAAGAAGAAGAAGAAGAAGAAGAAGAAGAAGAAGAAGAAGAAGAAGAAGAAGAAAGGAGGAGGAGGAGGAGGAAGAGGGGGGGAGGCGGAGGAGGAAGAAAATGAAGAAGGAAAGAGAAGAAGACTCAAGGAA